GTTGCGAGCCTTTTATAATGAAATTTTTGTTACCGCGCGCCACGCGGTGCTAACTTTTTTAGGTACCAACTAGTTTTGGGCATATGAATCAATTAGAACTGCAGCTGATGCATTTATTTACTATAGTAATATACACTTATACGACATTTCCATTTTTCGACCCCAACAATCTTTTGTATAGTAATAAATTAGGAAATAACAAACTAACGCTAATGCTAATTTTTATGTTTCTTTTAAGATGCCAGTCTAACCATCATCAAGATTGATATTTTTAGATAAAAGATGGTTAGTCCTAAGAGAAATAAGTAAACTTCTGTTCAGCTTCGGGGGATTCAAAATTAAAACTTTGACATTATTCAGTAAAATATCCGGATGGTTTCTATTTTAGAAATTCCTGCAATGTATTCAGTATTATTTAAATTTCTGCTTATACATGTATAAACAAACAAAAATGATCAAAAAAATATAATTTATGTCTAAAATTAATAAATAATAATAATAATAATACAGTAAAAAATCAAATCAAATCAATAAGTCTCACGGAAGCTACTAATGCGAACAAGACCAACTTTTATAAAGAGCGAAACGACGGAATCCAACCTTGCTCAACTCCTAACAAATAATTCCATTGCGGTGCAATTTCCGTCTTGAAATTCCAAAAGAACCATCCGATTCTATAGCATATGGAAGAAAATCAAAACATATTTCATGATGAATTTTTATTTATAACAAATCAATAAACTTACCCAGTTTCATACGCATCCATTTGTGTTTTAGCATACTCTAAAAGGAATTTCTTGTATTCAGGAGGCCACGATAAATAATCCGAATCATTTTTACACGTGGAATTTGGAAAAATGGGCGGATTATTATCGAATGTTCCGTCCCAGCGAGCACCTATTTTAAACCCATTTAACCATTTTGCGCAATCGGTTGTAGCGAGAGACCTTTATCATTTATAAAGAAAAAAATTAAAATATAGGATCAAAAGCAACTAGATATGAAAAAAAAAGTGAAAATATCTACCACTCTCCAACCATAATCCACGAATTAAAAGCAGCAATCTCGGCTTTCATATTGCGTACGTAGTTCAATTTATCTTGCTCACTCAGTGCTAATATCGTTCTATTGAATACCAAATAGACGTGCGTGTCTAATACGACTCCTTTGTATGGTGGTTCTTGCATGAATCCTTTCCAAAAAGATAGCGGGAGGAAGGAATCATGCATTACAACGAGTGCATTGGGATGGTAACGTCGTACGATTTCGTAGGCTTCTTTGTAAAATTCTTGGGTGATACTGATGTTGTTTCCTCCCCAGCTATGTTTTAGATTACAGGTGATTTTTAAAGATAATCGATGCATGAAGAGTGAGTTCTATTAAATACCTAGTTGGTTCATTTAGGATATTGATAGCAGTAATGGAGTTTTGATAAGCAACAGTGTTCATGCAAAGAATTTGCAGGACTTTAAGCGTGCGCGGGATATTTTGCTTGTTAGTTTGCCAATTAATTTTGCCTCGTTTACCACTATTGTCGAATCCATTCTGTCACATATATAATAATAAATGAGCATACCAGAATGAACATAAAGTAGTCGATATTTAATAGTGAAAAATAACCTGAGACCCGGGTGCACCATGCAAATCAACTTCCACTTTAAGCTTATAAGTCTGTGCCCAAGTAATTGCTTTTAATAGATAATCAAAAGCACCCATCACCCATGGTTCAGACGGTAACACGTCAAATGCCCAGTATCCGATTGGGATACGAAGATGATTGATACCGTATTCGGATAATCGTTTGATATCGCATTCGGTGACCCATGTTTCCCAATGTCGTGTTAATTGTCTTTTTGCTTCGATTGGACCAAGAACTTGAGTAAAGGTCCACTCGTCAACTGCCGGTCGAGCGGAAGTTAAGAATTGGTCGAATAAGCTTGGCGTTATCCCTACATACGAATAGAACTTAAAATTACTTTTTGTATCTAAACATTCAATAATATACGATAATAGATTTACTTACATGGTTCGAGTACCAACCTACAAACATTTGTTTTTTGAATCCATGAATTAAAAATCAAATAAATATTCTCGATATCACGAATTATAATTCTCGAAGCTTACCAACCACCCAAATTAACTCCTCGAATTTTTTCTTTTCCATACGGAAACGCCATACACAATCTGCCTGAATAGTCGGGAAAGCAGACATCTTTATTATTATCAACATTGTCGATTCTAGTCTCTTCTAACATTATGTTATCGAGTTGATTAAGAATCAGCCTGCCATTTTTGATTGTATTGATTTTAATTGATGTTTTTGATGATATGTTCCGTGATGCATTTACAAATGTTATATAGACATTCAGGTTCGAGAAAATCAAAAATAAGTAAAACAATGCTTTTGCTTTTAGAAATATCTTTAGGTGCGACATTCTCAATAATAGTAATAAGGAACAAAATTATAGTTAAATGTTATATTAAAAGCATAATGAACGCAACGAATTGTAAAAAGGAAAAATAAAAATATAAAAACGTCCTCCTTTATATAATTTTCTTTTTCAATTTTTTCACATGATTTATCTCATATAACAAACATAAATTTAAAAGAAGGAAAAGAGAGACGGGTCGAGAACTGTGATCTCATATTACATGTGCTATAATTCTTTCTGAACAGGTTTAATTTTAAATTTGTATTACAACGATAAGGTTAATTTGTGAGTCGGGACTTGTATTGAGTTACTTGAACTTTTAAATTCAAATAGAAAAACTCATTTAATATACTGTTCATGTACCATTTAAAGTTATAAAGAAGTTAAATAAGTGAGATCGAGATAATTTCAGCGTGCATTGAAAACAATATAATTAAATCGTACTTCGAATACTGTATCTGTTTAAAATTCAACAATTCAAAGATAGTAAATCATTTGATTTGACTATATATGGAATAACTGTTTAGCGTTATCAAATCGTAAACTACATTTATCGTTATGTATCTATCCTCGCACCAAATAATATAAATATGAATAATATGAATACAAAAAATTCAATATCCTCACACCAAATAATATAATATGGATACAAAAAATTCAATATTTATTACTTTTACTCTTTCCTTCCTTCCTTTTCTTCTTTTAATAATTTTTTAATAGTTTAAGATACTATTCAAAATACTTTTCATATTTTATTTAGTTTGTCACTAGGTATCGTATTATAAATATCGTCACGTCAATATTAGCTCTTGGTATTTCATCAGACACCCTGCATCGATGGTTAAAGCATGATTACAGCTAAAACGTCTCCTTGTACTCGTTTTTACAACATACCTTCTATTTTTCCAGAGTTAACTTCAAAATATGTCAATAACAACGCCGCCGTCACCACCACCACCACCAAAAAAGGGTTCCTCTATGCTCGGGTCTCTAGTGTCAAGCAAAAAGAAGATCCTGAACGGCAGAAACAACTCCTCAGCTCCCGATTTCCAACCAACGAACTCATCAGCGATATTGGATTGGGCGTCAACTTCAAACAACCAGGACTTAATACCTTATTGGAACAGACAAGTCGCGGAATGGTCTCAGAAATTGTGGTTACCCATCGTGACCGATTCTGCCGCTTCACCTTCGACCTCATCCAGTATATACTCTCCCTCCATACTACAAAACTCGTGGTTCTCTTCGACGATGCGATCTCCGATGAACGTTGTCGAGATATGCTTATAATGCAGTTGTTCGCTGGAGTCAATACCGCCGTTTCTATACCAAGAATTCACGTATTGATCCATCACAACGAGTTTGGGTAAAACCTCAACCTGTTAAAGATAAACTTAAAACTTTATGCAGATGTTCATGTAGGAAAAGATGTTAATGAACATGAGGGCAAGAAACTTCAAAAATCATGTGTATGGGGTGAACGCAAATTTGTACGAACTATTATGCGTATTGGAATGCTGCTTCAAGGTACACATGGCAAAGCACCTGCAAATATTATTGATGAGGCAGTTGATGAAGCATTGACTGCTAGGTATGATTATTTTTTTTTGTTTTCATTTTTTTTTATTTTTTAAATTTTTTTTTCTGATTTTTTCTTAATTAATTTTAGGGATAAAACAATTAACCATAATATAGGATCAAACACAAATCAACGAGGTTCATCTTTATCATTTCGATCTCGAAAAGATTTGCGATAAACAATAACAACAAAAAAAATTTTCGTCGAATTGAAATATTTCACGAAAATTATAATGTATCCTTAATAATTTTTTAATAAAATTTTAGGACCAAACTTGTGTTGCATTATAGTCGTGCAACATGAATATCGTATAAAAGGTAAGTTTATTGTGTATTGTTTACATATCGTATGATGTTACTGCTTTTTGGACAACAAACTGAACCACAAAGACGCCACACAACTCCAGAAGAGCGCGCACAAATTCTTCTCGCTCTTCAAATGGATATACAACAAGACAAATAGCAAAGTCAAAAAATATTAGCCCCTCAACAGTCTCTCGTATTAATAAAAGAT